GGCAAGCCAGCAGACACACTTCCACCTACACCTCTTACTGAGCTTACTAGTAGCAAAGTTCAGTTCATCTGGACTAGGGATTGTTCAAAATCATTTACAAGGTTGAAGCATCTGCTTTCCTCTGCTCCTGTTTGGAGGAGTCCTAATTTCAATCTTCCCTTCTTTTTACATATAGATGCGAGTGGTTATGCAGTGGGTGCTGTGCTGCTCCAAAAAGTCAACATCCATTGACATTCTCCATCCATATGTTACCATCATCTAAGCTCAAAACGACACTAGAAAAATGCCACTATTGAGAAGAGGGTCTAGCTCTTGCGGTGTTCTTGGAACATTTTGACGTGTATCTGGGCACTTCCCATTTAAAATTAACATTTTTTTCAGACCACAATCCACTCCCCCTACATAAATACAATGAAGAATAAAAATGCTAGGATCATGAGGGGGGCCTCAGAATCCAGCCTTACCTATTATATACAACATACAGTGGTCATTGTTTAAAGTAATTGCTGATGCTCTGTCACATCCTTAATTTTTCATTGTTACATTTAAATTAACCTAATTTTTATGCCGAATACCTTATGTTACTTGCTACATCAAATTCAGTAAAGTAACGTAATCTATCAAGCCCATGTTAACTATGTATACTCATGTCTAATTTTTCTATTTATATATTCACAGTAGTGGTGATATATGTTGGTGTGAGAAGGAGATAGTTGGAGACAGAAGTTGAGAGTGTAGAGTGTTGTGTGGGCGTTTACTTACTGAGTGGCGGAATACAGTCCTGCCGCCAGTCCCCCCCCCCTCTCTACACGCCTTAATAAGTTACTGCACTCAAGTTTTCTCATACCCACATTCCATACTGCCCCGCATTCCACTACCACTACTTAAGAGTGGGATGCCGTCTCCTGTCTATCGCACAAGACTGCTATTCTAATATACATCTACACTACTATGATCGAGCCTCAACTGTCATGCTTGTCTATGCTATCCTGTCTCTACACTGATGTACATTGTGGAAAATACTGTATATATTTTCCAGAAATTCAGTATTTATATGTAAATAGATGACCATACTGTATTTAATAATATTTATGTCATAGAAAACGGAAAGCCTGCGTCTGCGCAGATGTGACTCGCCATCTTGGTTTTGAATTGGATACAACGTTAATATAATGGGAAGAATTTTTCGTGCTCTAGAGGTTAAAATTGGATGACACCTCTCAAATAGGAGGCGAAATTGTTGGATGTGCATTCCTGCATAACTTGAGATATCAGACGACTGGACAAGACAGCTCCAGGAACCTCAGATAAGCTCTCTAGATTTGTGTATAATTCTGGCCAGTGTTTTCATAAATTTAGTTAGTGAGGTTTTTCTGAGTATGATACAACTTAATATCCAGTCAAATTGGTGAGTGATATTAAGATATATTTTCCTTCTGTTATGTATATGTGAATTTATATATAATCATTTTTTAATATACAGTCCACAAATTTATATATTTACCAGTATTCCTGGTGTATGTATATTTCATTTAATAATAGGTCCAGAGCAACTTGTGATGACGTGGTAGTATCGAAGGGGACATTTTGCGACTAGGTTCCCAAATTTCTACTTGCTATGTCATTGATAAATAAAGTATCTTTGTTATATTACTGTTATGTAATAATGTTACATTCAGATAAATGCAATTTTCACATACAATTATTATTATTTTATTTATTAAAGATTAGCCGGTATTCCACCGGCCCGGGCCTTTCCAAGTGGTGGCCCGGCCTTGCTCCCTCTTTAGGGAGTGTCTGAGACCTAAGTCTCCCATGGGAGGAGGCACAAGTACCTCCTCATCTTTGGGACCAACTGTCCCCAGGCCTAGCCACAAGCTAGGCCTCTCTGGTCTGCCATCCCCGCCCCAAGGAGCCAAATAGGAATGACAGTCTTTTGAGCTAAAGGCTCAGGCACCTACCCTACCCTAGAAGGGTTAGGCATGGTGTCGATGTTGCACATACATAACCACGAGTATGAAGATATACGATATGATGTATACTGCCCTAGTACGAGGGGCGTAACTTATAGTAAAATAGACACTGTAAAATGTAAGAAGTGCTTGGCACAAGAGTGACTGATTTTTTTTTATATTAAATCGTGTTATTAAAGTGGCATGAGTAATCACAGTAATCTTGTGAAAGACACTAACGCAACTCCTAGTGCGACCGTTTGACGTGCTGGGGGGGGTATTACGACCCCTGAATGGGTCACAATGTATATAGTGTATATTACCTGTTCATATAATTTTATATTGCTTATATTTGTGATATTAGCTAAATCGTAAATATATTGCTCTATATTATTATTTGACTTAGTTATGTTATTAGTAGGATGTAATATTTATATATTCAGTGCTCATAGTTTCCAGTGTTAAGTAGCTGACAGCATTGTCTAACTACTGTAATTTTCACTCTGCTTTTGTTGCTGGGCAGCAGCAGTGCACGGAGAGTCACGTGATCAGGGTAGGGTGATCACACCTCACCTGGAGAGAGAGTCTAGCTGGCCTGTGTCTGTTTGACGTTGCTTCCAACAAGACGGCCTCTCTAGCTCTCCCTTGCGGGCGCTTGTTGGAAGATCGTCTCTGTCACTTTCTTGTTTTTGGTTCTGTGTAACTCTGGTTACAAGGCATGGCCTAGACTTAGTGATTTTCGACGTTGTACTGAGGTTGTGTGTCTCATAGACATTCTGAGAAACTCAGGTCCTGAGCTGTAGCTTCTGACCTAATTTGTACTGGTATCTGTGTACCGTCACAGTCGAGGATTTTCTAATACTGAACTTAGATTCAGTAGTACAGGAGTTTTGTGACTTTTGTGGAGGATCTGCAGATGGTCCCTACTTATATTATCTCCTTGTTCCTGATTCTGTGTTGCTGTTGCTTGTTATATTGCTGTTCGGCTTAACAGCCGCTTTATTGTTCAAGCAAGCTGTTCTGATTGCCAAGTTGGTCAAGAAGTTAGTTTATGTGAGGACTTTTAGTCAGTCACTAGTTAAGTCTAGTCAACTCTTGAGACATAGCAAACTACTTAGAGCACTTACACACATACACACAAACTTGCTTGTATATATTTGTACTATGTTATTAAATGCTAACAATGTACCAGACGGTACTTAAAAGCCATAAAGATGTGATATGTGCCTTCAGCACAATACTACTGTACACGAGAGAAGTGTAGCAACTTGTATCCTATATTATATTCAATTGATTACTTTAATTTACTTAGATATTATACGCCTAGACAACTTTATTGTTATTAATAAACATATTAAATTTTAATTTCTTTAGTTAGTAGCCTACCAGTTGTAATCCTGAAGCACTATTGATTCTTACTAAATTCTAATGGATAATTGAACCAGGATACTGACTACTTGTTACAAAAACCCAGTAACAGGCTGGATGCTAGAAGGGCAGTCCTTTCTAGTATTCACTGGAGATCTCTATTATTATTAGATATTGCGTTGTTGTAAGTGTGTGTGTGTGTGTGTGTTTGAAGGATGTATCACCCTAACACTTGAGGGCAACACAAGTATACAAAAAAAGATTTTTACGTGGGTAAATAATTGGGTAAATAAAGACTTGTTCTGCAGTCACAGACGCAGAGTTATTAGCTTAGTGTTGTGTGTGTCAAGTAAGGATTCACCAGGATCACTTTCCTCAAGTAAAGCGTTTAATTGAAGGTAATTTTTAGCTAGATAACCTACCTGGAGGAGTCTGCCTGGAGGTGTTCCGGGGGTCAGCGCCCCCGCGGCCGTGTCCTTGGCCAAGCCTAGGTTGGTTGTTTGGTGCAAAATTAAAATTCAAATCAATATAAAATTAGCACAGCTCCATTTTCAACTGATGCTCGGCCTCCTGAGTGCTTAATTTCTTTTACAAAATCTGGAGATGCAGGGTATCGATCCCCGTACCTCTCGCATGCTAAGCGAGCGCTCTACCATCTGAGCTACATCCCCGTGACTGGAGGTGCCGGGGATCGAACCCGGGACCTTTCACATGCAAAGCGAACGCTCTACCACTGAGCTACACTCCCTTAGCAATAACAGTGTGCGATTATCTACTTGAAGTTATTTTGTTGAGCTCTCACATTTTGTACTTTAATTCTGGGATTCGCATCAACTTCTTGTGTGCTGACTGCTGTGTTGACTTATAATGTGATCCACGATCTTTACATCCGTGAGGTTGTACAACTGTGAACTGTAGTGTTACGCTTCAAGGACACCAATGGAAATAAGTTACTGACCCCCGAAACCCTCTCCAGGTAAATTCTAGGTGCTCTGAGGCTCTTCTGGAGGTATTCAATATACAGATCAATATTTCCACCTGTTCCACAATCATCCTCACCTGACAAAAAAAAAAAATCAGCTTATTAAACTGGAATCGTGTGAGCATCGGAGTCCCATACTTGAACATTCCAGTTTTGGTATTTTCCAATGCCTTCTGGAAAAATGACCTCTAGTTAATGATTATTTCCTTTCATTTGCCGTTCAACATCTTCCTTGGAATAAGTTATCTGATCAGCAATAGTGTCGCAGTTGAAGCATTGCAATAAATGCAAATGTCTTGAATTTTCACTTAATTTTTGAGAAACAATATTTCCTTCCAGTGGTCCATCAACACCAACTTGAGTGTGTGATATTTAACCCGTTTCAAGCATTTATTTGGATAAATAAAGACTTGTTCTGCAGTCAGGTGTTGTAGGTGTCACATAAGGATTCGCCAGCATTAATTTCCTAAGGTAAAGCGGCTAACTAAAAGTAAATTTAAGTTAGATAACCTACCTGGAGGAGTCTACCTGGTGGTGTTCCGGGGGTCAACGCCCCCGCGGACCAGTCCTTGACCTTTCCTAGGTTGGTTGTTTGGTGCAAAATTAAAATTTTACATAATATAAAATTAACATAGGTTCAGTATGCCATTTTCAATTGATACTCGGCCTACTGAGTGTTTAATGTTTTTTATAAAATCTGGAGATGCAGGGTATCGATCCCAGTACCTCTCGCATGCAAAGCGAACGCTCTACCACTGAGCTACACCCCCTTAGCAATAACAGTGTGCGATTATCTACTTGAAGTTATTTTGTTGAGCTCTCACATTTTGTGCTTTAATTCTGGGATTCACATCAGCTTCTTGTGTGCTGACTGCTGTGTTGACTTATAATGTGATCCACGATCTCTACATTCGTGAGGTTGTACAACTGTGAACTGTAGTGTTACGCTTCAAGGACACCAATGGAAATAAGTCACTTTGACTGTTTTGGGTTATCCTATATAATTTATACTCTGTATGATAACTGTACTTGCGTGTACCTATGTAAATAAACTTAATTTGCATTCACTTGTTTCCTCGTGCTGGCCAGTCTATGTTTACTAAGTTATTTAGGTGGTACATATGAGAATAATTATCATACATAGCAATATGTGTAAATTAGCTAGGATAACCTAAAGAAAGTCAAAGAGACTTACTTCCACTGATATCCGTTTGTTTATTCTTCTGAGTCTCCTGCATGTGTCAACATATCAAATATTTCCTGTGGCTTAGTGTGGCACATCACTGGTAACCAGATATAAATAAGTTCGTTACTATTGTAAGTTTTATCGCTGTCAAAACTTGCGTCCCATTATGCGCCTCTGTAATCTTAAATTTTTCTCCCACATCATGGGTATGGTGTGACTACCACCCACACCATGGGTATTGACGACTACCCCTACACCATGGGTATTTGGTGACTGCCACCCACATCATGGGTTTGTGATGACTACCCACCCGACCATGGGTATGGTGTGACACCACCGACACCATGAGTATGATGTGCTACCGCCCACACCATGGTATGGTGTGACTACCACCGACACCATGAGTATGAGGTGACTATCGCCCACACCATGGGTTTGAAGTGGCTACCACCCACACAGTGAGTATGGTGTGACTACCGCACACACCATTTTTAAGGTGTGACTACCATCGTCACCATGGGTATGGTGTGATTACCACCGTCCCTATGGGTATCTTGTGATCATCAGCCACACCATGGGTATGTTGTGACCACCCACACCATAAGTAAAGGCTGCATAATGAAGATATTATACTGAACTGATGGTGTGTCTGCCACCGTTATCGTTTACTCTGAGACTCTTCTGGAGGTACTGTTGAATGTACAGATCAATATTTCCACCTGTTCCACAATCATCCTCACCTGCCAAAGAAAAAAAATAGCTTATTAAACTGGAATTGTTCGAGCATCGGAGTCCGCTAGTTGAACATTCCACTTTTGTTATCTTCTAATACCCTATTTAAAAATGAAGTCTTGTTAATGATTATTTCCCTTCATTCTCTCATTTGCCGTTCAACAGCTTCCTCGGAATAAGTTATCTGATCGGCAGTAGTGTCGCAATTGAAGCAGTGCGAAAAATGCAGATTTCTTGATTTTTTACTTAATCATTGAAAAACAATATTTTCTTCCGGGGGTTCATCATTCCCACTTGAGTGTGTGTACTTAACCGTTCCAAGCATTTTTGGGAAAATAAAGACTTGTTCTGCAGTCACAGAAGCGAGTTTTTCTTAAGGTTGTGTGTGTCCCTTGGAATTCACCATCAAATTTTCCTCAAGTAAAGGGGAGGGGTCTCCCTGGAGTTTTCCAGGGGCAGGCCCCCACGGGCCGAGTCCTGGCCCCCTATTTGGGTTATTTTTGGGCAAAATTAAAATTAATCAATAAAAATTCCACAGCCCAGAAAAACCATTTTCAACGATCTCGCCCCTGAGTGCTTAATTTCTTTAAAAAATCGGGAGACGCAGGGTATCGACCCCCCGTACCTCTCGCATGCTAAGCGAGCGCTCTACCATCGAGCTACTCCCCTGACGGAAGTCCCGGGGATCAAACCCGGGGGAACCTTTTCACATGAAAAACGAACGCTTTCCCTGAATTACACTTCCTTAAAAAACAACGGGGTTTGCGAATCACTTGAAGTTATTTTCTTAAGCTTTACTTTTTGTTTTTAATTCGGGTTCGCATCGCTTCTCGTTGCTACTGTTGTGTTGATTTAAAAGTGATGCAAAACCCATCTCTGTGAGGTTGGGGAACTGTAGTCTTCCCTTTCCCGGGACCCCAATGGAAAAAGTCACTGACTTTTCGGGGCTATCCTAGTGATTTACACGATGTATGATAACTGTATTTATGGGGTCCCTGATCTAAGTAAACTTAAATTTGCAGCGTTTACGTGTCCATTTTTGGGTTTCCTCGTGCTGGCATTTTTTCAAAGTTATTTAGGGGGTAATTGAGAAAACTTCATTCATAGCACATATGTGTAAATTGCTGGAAAAACCTAAAAAAGCCAAAGTGTTTATTTCCACTGATGTCCCTTTGTTTTTTTCTGTGTCTCCGTATGTGTCAACAAAAAATTTTTCCCTTTGGGGCGAGTTGGCACTTCCTGGTAACCAATTTTAAATAGTTCTTTTTAACTGAAAGTTTTCTCGCTCTCAAAACTTTTCGTTCCATTATGCGCCTGTAATCTTTAAATTCCACCCCCCCCATGGGGTTGTTGTTTACTACCCAAACCCCCCCACCATGGGGAGTTGTGACTACCACCCCACCCTGGGGATGTTTTGGGCTACCACCCACACTAGGGTATGGGTGACTACCACCCACACCATGGGTATGTTGTGATACCACCCAAAAAACCTGGGTTGGTTTTACTACCACCCCCCACCTGGGAAGTTGTGACTACCACCCCCCCCATGGGTATGTTTTGACTACCACCCCCACTATGGTATGGTGTGACTACCCCCCACCCATGGTATTTGTGACTACCACCCCCACCATGGGGATGGTTTTACTACCACCCACACCAGGTTTGTTTTGCTTCCCCCCACACCATGGGTTTTGTTGTGACTACCACCCACACCATGGGTTGGGGTGACTACCACCCACACCATGGGGATGGGTTTTACTACCACTACACCATGGTATGTTGTGACTACCACCCACACCAGGGGGGATGGTGGGGCACCACCCACCCATGGGTTGATTTGGCTACCACAACCCCAAACCCTGGGGATAATGGGGCTACCGCCCAAATGGTATATTTTTTCTACAAACCCCCACCATGGGTATGATGTACAACCCACCCACCCTGGGTATGGTGTATACCACCCCAAACCTTGGGTATGATGTGACTACCGCCCACACCATGGTATAATTTTGGGACCCCCCATACCATGGGGTTTATTTGACTCAACCCTTACCTGGGTTTTAGTGACACCACACACACCATGGGTATGGTCGAATACCCCCTCTCCAATGTGTAAGGGGGTTTAAACCATTTCCCCTATGGGGGGTTTTTTGATTACTACCCACCCTAGGTATGTTGTGACCACAACCAACACTATGGGGATTTTGACCCCCCCCCTTCACCTGGAATGCTGTAACCACCACCCCCCCACGATATGTTGTGGCCCCCCCCACGCCTTGGGGGATTTTTTAACCACCACCCAAAAAATGGGGAGTTGGCCCACCACCCCTACCATGGGTTTTGTGGCCCCCCACCCCCCATTAGGATTTTGTTTACCAAACCCCACCCTGGGAGTTGTGACCCCCTCCCACACCTGGGCTGTTGTGACCCCCCCACCTATGGGGATGTTTTTGGGTACCGCCCCTTTCCATGTTAGGTTGTGACCACCACCCACATATGGGGAGTTTTGGGCCACCCCCCCCAAGGTATCGTAAACAAAACCCCCCAACCATTGTATTTTGACCCCACTCGCGCCATTTTTTTTTGTTTTGGCCACCACCCCCCCCCAGGGGTATGTTTTACCACCACCCACACCCTCGATTTTTAACCACCACCCCACCATCGAATTTTTTGTGAAAACCCCCCCCCCAGTTAGGTTTTTTAACCACCACCCCAAAACCATAGGTATTTGTGACCAACCACACCATGGGTTTTTGTGCCACCACCCACACCATGGTAGTTTTTACCCCACCCACCCATGGGTAGGTTGCAACACCACCCAACCATGGGTATGTTTTGACCAGCACCCTCACCATGGTTTTGTTGTGACCACCCCCACACCTGGGCATGTTGTGGCCAGCACCCCACCATTGGATGTTGTGACCCCCCTCACCTGTGTATTTGTGACCACCCCCTCATGGTATTTGTGACCCCCCCATCATGTGTATGGTGACCACCACCCCACCGGGTTTTTTTGTGACCACCCCCCACCATGGGGAGTGTACACCCCCACCCATGGGATTTGTACCCCCCCCTACCAGTTATTTTTTTGGCGCTACCACACATTGGGAGTTGTTGCCACCACCCCCACCAAGGTTTTGTTTGACCCCCACCCAATCTGGGGTATTTGTGACCACGACCCCCACATGGGGATGTTTTGCCCCCCCCCTCACCATTATTTGTCCACCCCCCACACCTGTGTATGTTGTGACCACCACCCCACCCGTGTTGTGGACCCCCCCCACTAGGGCTTGGACCACCCCCCCCCACCATGGGTAGTTGTAAAGGCCACCCTCACCATGTCAGTTGGCCCCCCAACCCGCACCATGGGTATGTTGTGACCCCCCACAGCATGGGGTTTCTCTGACCACCACCCACACCATGGTTTTGGTGTTACCCCCCCCCCCACGATTGTATGTTTGCCACCCCCCACCCATGTTATGTTGTACCCCCCCCCCCATGTTTTGTTGTACCACCACCCCAAATGTGTATGTTTTTGACCACCTCCCACATATGGTATGTTTGACCCCCCACCCCCACCAGGGGGATGTTGTAAAGACCACATTCACCTTGTGTATTTGTGCCCACCCCCACCATGGGATGTTGCGACACCCCTGCACCATAGGATTTTGACCACCCCCACCCATGGGAGTTTTGACCCCACCCACCCTTTGTTGTTGTGGCCCCACCCCAAACCCGTTATGCTTTGACCCCCTCCCATGTAGTTTGCCCCCCCCTCACCATGGGGATGTTTTTGACCACCCCCACCAGGGTAGTTGTAAAGACCCCCCTCACCTGTGTAAAAGTTTTTGA